GCCCGGCCTGGGGCCGCTGGGGGCCCGCCGGGCTGCCAAGCCACTGGGCACGGATCGGGCACCGCTGTGCCAACTCTTAGATGCAGCGGTCGCCGCCTACATCACCACCAGCCACTCCCGCCTCACGCACATCAGCCCGCGACACTATGGCGACTTCATTGAGTTCCTGGGCAAAGCTCGCGAGACCTTCCTGCTGGCGCCCAACGGGCACCTGCAGTTCGCCCAGTTCTTAGACAACCTCAAACAGACCTACAAGGGCAAGAAGAAGCTCATGCTTTTAGTGCGGGAGCGTTTTGGATGAGAGGTGGAGGTGGGGGAGGCGGTGGGGGATGCCCCCTTCTCCCCTGCCTCCCTGACATTCGCTTTCCTGGGGGTGGGGGACTGGGGGCGGGGAGCTCGGCACCCGGAGGCCCACGTGGCATTTCAGTATTAAGTCAGAGGAGTCCGGCTGGAGGTGGGAGGCAGGAGGGGTGACATCCTTCCATGCGCGTGCCTAAGTGTGCGAGTGAGTGAGCGAGACTTCAGGAGCAGAAGCCATACCACCACCCGGAAGCCTGGGGGGAGTGTGCTTAAAAGCAGTTGGGATGACCCGTCTTGGGCACCCCAAAAGCAATAGGCAAGCTCCCCCTCCCCCAAACTCTGTAGGCCTGGCCTGAGCTCCCGGATGGATGGGGTTAGCTGGGAGGCAGGACTTTCCAAAATCCAGCCCCTCTAAGTCAGTATAGCAGACCCCCCTCTGCCCTCCCCAATTCCACCCTATGTAGCTATCCAAACCCCCTGTGCCCTCCTCTAACTGCTCAGGGGACCCACCCACGCACCACCTCTGAGGCTGCCCAGCCACTGAAGGATTTAAAGAGGCCTCAGACCTCAGCAGCATACCTCACCCCTCCCTAGCCCTCTGTCTGGCCAGGACCCCCATTCCTTTGGGCACCAGGGTCCCAGGGTGGGCTGGGGTGGTCATCGCTGCCCCCCACCCCACCCCGCACCTGCTAGTCACTGGATACACAACTCAGGAAGCAAGGGAGGCTCCACCGCCACCCTCCAAGCCTGGTGTTGGGGAGACAGTGGGGTCAGGAGAGCCAGGGACAGAGACCTGCATTTCAGCATTTGCTCTCTCTGTCCCTTTCTCTTCCTCTGTCTCCCCGCTTCACCCCTGCATCTTACTCTTCATTGAGCCCGGCTTTTCTATTATAGATGCATCTCCAAATTCCACCCAAGAGCTTCTCTTTGGCCTCCCTCCCCCTCCCCCACATTGGCCTCAGGAGGAGGAAGGAGAGTGCCCCCCCACACCCCTCCCCTGTCACCCCTTCCCCATCTTCTTCCCCTCTTGTATATTAAGGACAAAAGACCACGGCATTTTGTAACTTTTTTCTATTTATTGAACCGTATATTGTATTTCCTTTTTTCATTTTTTTTAAAGATGAAACACAGCTTTTTCTTTTAAATCTGCTTGTGAGATTGAGTGCACCTTCCTTTCGACGGCCAGCACTGCCCCGTCCTTTTGCAAAAAAAAAATATGACTAATCTTGGGCCTCGTTTCTGGACGTAGCTTTAGGCAAGGGGGTGAGCAGAGAGCAACGACAGGTGTCATCCTCATGACCCAGCACGGTGTCTAAGGGACCGCCATGCCCATTTCTCCCCAAGAAAAAACAGCCTCCGAAGTTTAAGAGCACCCAGCTAGGAAGCAGTGGAGCTGGCGGTGACCGCTAGGGGGTGTCCTGGCTCCAGACAGGCACTATCAGGGGTGATTCTTTCCGAAGTGCTGAGCGTGGGAGGCTGAGTCTGGAGCTGGGTTGGGAGGACGCCCCGCCCAAAGGCCGAAACCCTGGGTTGAGACTAGACTTCGGTGGGCGGGGCTTTGGCCGCCAAGGAGAAAGTGCGGTGGGCGTGACCCGGCCGTGACGTGGGCGGGGGGCGTGGCCAGAGCGTGTCTGGGCTGTTGCACCGCAAAAGAGGCTTCCAGTCCCCCGAAAAGGGGTGACGGGTCTGGGGGACGGCAGGATGGCCCTTGGTTGTCTTTTCTGGCTCTCGGAGAGTAGCTATTTCGGGGCTTGCTTGGCTTTGGAGAGTGACGAACGAATGGACAGACCGGGTCACTGTCAGGTCCGGGGCAGGCGAGGACAGGCCTCCCACAGGGGCGGGGCTCTAGTCGCGCTGTGCAAGACGATTGGCCCGTGGCGCCGCCCTCTACTACAGGGAGCCAATAGGAGGCGCCTTATGTCCTGTCTGCCCCGTGTGTCCCCGTAGTTATGCGCGGGGAGACCCTACCACTGGCGCGCCTGCAGGTGCTGCCTAGAGTTTTGGGGCGATGGGGGTGCAAACCTGGAACGCTGCATCACCTTCGCCTGCCAGTGGGTCCTGTCGCCTCCAAATTTCCCTGGATTTAGGGCGCCCCTTAACTGTGTCTTTCAGCTCTCAGTTACCCACAAAAGTTCCCCAAAGACCAGGCAGGGCCACCGAAGTGCCAGTCACAACCTGAGGTTTCCCTCATGTCACACAAAGACACCTCCAGTATTCTCAGGTACCACCCCCAAATCTTCTCCAGGCCTGAATTGTCACTTAGGTCCCAGTCACCCGAAAATCTCACTAGCTGAAGACCAGGTCCCAGTTATCTCCAAATGCTGGTCCCCAGAGTCACCCCCAAACCCAGTTGGGGGGTTCTAGTCCACCTTGATCAGGGTCCATCTCCCCCGGGGCAGCCCTTCACTATGACCCCACTTAAGGTCCTTCCAGCCTAGGGTTTCCTTCAGGGTCACCCCACAACCACAGACCACCCCTCAAGGTCACCGCTCTGCCCTCTCCGTCCATGGGATTAAATGTCCATGGGATTAAATTAGTCGTCCTCAGAGCAGGTGGGACGGGAGTGGGGAGCTCCTGAGGTCAGGTAAGTGGAGGCCGATCAAAACTGGAGCTCTGGGGGAAACAGCAGTTAGGGTAATGGCTATGTCGCTGGACTCCCACGTAGTCGACCGCGGTTCGCGTCCGGGACCCGGTGGCTTAGAACACACCGGGCGCGTGTGCGTGCGTGCATGCCCAAGATCCCGAGAGGAGAATGGAGGAGAAGGGATTGCGGCGTGGCCATCCCCCCTGGGGGGTGATTTCTCACTTTCTGTCTCTGTCTCTCTCTCTGGCAAGTGCATGCACCCTACAGCAAAAACCTCTCCAAAATAAATAAATAAACTTCCCAGGGTGGGAGGCGGGAGTGAAACACAGAACATCAGGCCTTTGGGAAGGAGGCAAGGGGCAACTTTTATTTAGTTGAACAAACCACATGCAAGCTGGTCTCGCTGGACTCCCACGTAGTCGACCGCGGTTCGCGTCCGGGACCCGGTGGCTTAGAACACACCGGGCGCGTGTGCGTGCGTGCATGCCCAAGATCCCGAGAGGAGAATGGAGGAGAAGGGATTGCGGCGTGGCCATCCCCCCTGGGGGGTGATTTCTCACTTTCTGTCTCTGTCTCTCTCTCTGGCAAGTGCATGCACCCTACAGCAAAAACCTCTCCAAAATAAATAAATAAACTTCCCAGGGTGGGAGGCGGGAGTGAAACACAGAACATCAGGCCTTTGGGAAGGAGGCAAGGGGCAACTTTTATTTAGTTGAACAAACCACATGCAAGCTGGTCTTCTCCCTCCTTCCCACCCTGTTCCCACCCTATGCATCTGCCACCTCGGATGGAAAAAGGGGACACTGGAGTGGCCCTCATGACTTGGGGGGCTTCGCTGCCTTCCCCATCCCACCCGAGCTGAGGAGAGTCTTACTTATTGCATGCTCTGAGACCAGCCGTGGAGACGCGAAGGGAAACCAGCTGTTCCCAAGGTCCCCCAGACTGAGCAGCTCTGCTCATGCCCTTTCTGGGCCCACATGGACCTTGGTCCCTACCCCACATGAGAGCTGGGTGTCACTGTTCTACCTCCCACATTAGCAAGCTGCAGGGGCCAGGCACGCTCAGGCCAGGCCAAGCCAGCCTGATTCCGGAAGCCTGGAGTTGGCATTTAACGGTCTGGGGGGCCCAAGGCAGCTTCCTCTTGGGTAACTGGCTGCTGGGAAGATGTGGGCTGCACCCGGGCCCCGCCAGGCGTGGGAGAGGAGGCTCCCGGACTACGGGGGCCACCCATCTGGTCCACCCGGGCCCAGCTTGAGGTGGGAGTCCGCGGCGTGCAGCCACCCCACCCTCCTGCAGACACCAGGGCTGGCTCTGGGTCTTCGCTGTAGGCATCGCGTTTGGCCCCCCGGAGAAAAGGGAGTGGGTGCGGGCTCTCAGGAGGCTC